TCCTCCTTTGTCTGGATCTAATTCAGCTTTCCATATAATATGTCTTGTATACAGACTGAACAGACAGGGGGATGAGACACACTCTTATCTGACACCTTTGTGTATGGAATGCTATTCTACTTTTCTGTAATCTCTCCTAATATAGATTCTTGTCTATAAAATGGGTCGTGCCTCAGGACTACCAAGTGCTGACGTATGCACATTTCCTTTAGGACAATCCATAGCTTTTCACGATTCACATAGTAAAAAGACATTGCTATCATCTATAAATCACAGACTGATCTTCTTCTGAATTCTTTAGTATGCTCCAGTAGACAAAATATATTTCCATTATGATCTCTAGTGCCATCACCTTTTTGGAATTTGGCTTGAACACTGGACATTTCTGACTCCATACGGGTTGGAGGGAGGAATCTTTGTTGCAATATCTTCAAATCATGCTGATAGCATTGCAAAATAATGCAGTATGCCTAGGGTTACTGTTCTCCTTTTCCTTCTTTCTTGGAGAATGGAATGTGTATAGAAGTTTTCCAGTCTGAGTCATTGTTTTGTTTTCAATTTCTGTTTGCATATTCTTGGTAGTCACTTTGACTGAAAATGTTGTGTTTCTGTTCACTTTAGTTTGCTCTCACCAATTACAGTAGTACCTCGGTTTACAAATTTAATGTGTTCTGCGGGACGTTACGTAATGCGAAAAATTTGTAAACTGAAGCACAGGTTGCCATAGGAACAGGGTCAGTGCTATAAACCTCCAGGCACAATGCATCCTGGGGAAACTTCCTTCATACTGCAGGGAAAAAAACATAAAGTGAGGCATTATTTTCAATGGCTTTCCATTTGTAAACTGAAAATTACATTAATTGAGGTGTTAGTAAACTGAGGTACTGTACTACTGTACTGCAATGTTTAAATGTTCTGTATTTTGCTTTATGGTTTCCAGTTTACCTTGATTCATACTTCATACCTCATTCAGTGTCACCTTCCACTATTGCTGCTGTCCAGTACTTCTTCCAGGAGTTTATTTGTCCCCATCACCATTGCACCTATCTATTTTCTTCAGCTGATGTCATTGTTAATCTTGCAGTCTAGTGTCTCAGCTTTGACGTTTCCATCTTGGGTGACCGTGTTGTGAGTTCCATTGTTAATCTTGCAGAGAGTCTAGTGTCTCAGCTTTGACCTTTCCATCTTGGGTGACCGTGTTGTGAGTTCAGACTCCCAGTGGAGTTGAGCCTCTTGATAGCATTGTCCTTGGCTTCCCTGAAACACTCAAAATTATTCACAGCTTGATAGTCCTATTTGTATACAAATGAACCATTGTCATTGTGGCCTGTGGCCTCATCTGGTCGTGGACCATGTATAAATATGCCAGTCATTTAGTCTCGCTCTAATGTCTAAGGAACTGGAGTTGATCCACAAAAGCTCATCTTAAAATATAACAGTTTTCAAGGTGCCACATCATCTCTCTCTCTCTCTCTCTCTCTCTCTCTCTCTCTCTCTCTCTCTCTCTCTCTCTCTCTCTCTCTCTCTCTCTCTCTCTATATATCTACTGATCTGATCTGATCTGATCTGATCTAATCTGATTGCACAGGGAACAGGATTAAAGGAAGGCATGAAATTAAAAAACACCCAACTACAGCTATTTACCTATATCACTACCACAATGTTGGCACTCTAATGGAATATAGCTGATGCTCAGTTAGAACAATCTGTATGGGTACTGGTATTTTATAATGTGTTTATAAAATTAGGATGTTAGGCTGAACAAAGGAGATTTGACCTTCCCAACTCTAAAATCTCCTACAACATATTCATGGTTGCCCAGGACTGATAACTGATACTGGATTGGAGAGATGTTAGGGATAGAATGCTCTCAATGGGCAGAACCACAATGGAAAAAAAGCACCATAAGGGAGAGGCGTGATAAACTGCAACCATCAGCATAAACCCCATTTGTATGCTCTCAGTATGGCTAATTGGATGACATGGAGGGATCTGGAATCATTGTGGGGATCTGATCCTTATACATAGGGAGACATATGTTAGTACAGCCCTTACCTAAAAACTGGAAGTAAGCCAATATTGGGGCACAGATCAATAGATCCGGGAATCAACACAACAGCACAGCTTATTGATAAATGTCTCAAATCATTTGATTACCTTAAATTGGAATTCAAACTCCCTCAGAATTATTTTTGGTAATATTTACGACTCAGTCACTGACTAAGTGCTTTGTCTGGTCTAAAGGTCTGGCAGTTTCAGAGACTCTAGATTTGTATGGGGGAGCACTCTAATGAGTGCACTTTTTCATTCATTCCTGTGATAAAACTGAGATGACCTGTGGATTAAATGCACTAATGAACTGGGGAGGCCTTTGAATTGCTTCTGCTAGGATTTTTTCATGCAAATATTAACAATTCCTCCCTGGAGCCACAGCTACAGCTAATCCAACAGAAAATAATTTTGCACAAGCTTTGGGCAGATACCACTCTGTTGAACATACAGAGTCAGGCAAATATTATAGATTCTCCAAAAGGCAAATATATTGGTCCACATATTATGGTCTACTCATTTGTAACCAATAATGTTGTGGCCAATTTTGTTTTTCAAGCTGGGATCTTTGTTTTTATTTTCAGATACTAACTATGTGACTAAGCAAGTCACCTAGAATTCAATTTACACTTAATGTGTTGACCCCTGATCAATCTGGACAGTTCCATGTACAGCTGTTGTTTCCCAGAGAACACTTGCCTTTACTGTTGTCATTTCTACTAGGACAAATACGAATAAAGCAATCATAGGGACATACTACTACTATATGTGTCTAGATCTATTAAAGAAGAAAGGATAACATAACAACACAAAGAACTCAAACATCTTGTTCCTTCTCCTGTTCCTTATTATCTGCAATCCCTAAGAGGTGCAGAGTGCTTATGCTCTTAGGGGTCCAGCAGCCAAGGTGTGCAGCTATTAAGACTGCCCTAATCCTGAAGGAATGGACTCCAAATTCTCTGACTGTGGTACCCAGGTCCATCGGGCTACTCTATGTGACTGCTATGAGCTGAAACCTTATTAGAGGGGACTAAACATTGTGTACAAGGAGTGTGCGTTTGGATCTTAGCTGTTCAGGTCCTCAAGCCCAAATCAGTTCATTTTTCCTTTCTCTTTTCCTTTGCTGAACTTTCTTTGTTACTCCATGCCCCTTTGTTACCTTAAGTTGGTTACCTTAACAATCTTCATCAATGTTCCTTGGTTGAAGCTTCAATGAAAGCTCATATTGGAGAGTGTTCAGGGAGAGCTTATATGCTCCCTGAGAAGACTGGAATGAAGACTGTTCCACTCCAGTCCGTGCTGAGCAAGTTCTGTCCAAAGGTGGTCCAAGTCACCCCTGTTTGGCTAGCATTTGCCCAAAGCCCCAAACATGTCTCCCAACTCTCATCTTCCCTGGTCCCTGCTGCTAGACTACATACTGGGCTTACAAAGAGTTTGGGTGGGGACAGGAATTGGGGTTTATCTGGTGGCACTTAAAGAAGTCTGTGCCTCCCTGACTGTGGACAATGCCATCAAAAAGCAATGAGGAAAACTGCGTCATGTCAACTTCATTGCAGCTGGATTCCCTCTCTGACACCAGCTTCTCATCATATGAAGAAAGAAAGCCAAAAGAGACTTGATCCTCAGTATAAAAGCAAGCCTCCAAACCTATGGATATGAGCTTGAGTGATTCCAGAATAGCATGTTCTTCCAGAAAGAAATTGCTGTAACTATATTAATTTGAACAGGATACTGAAGAAATGAAAAACTAGCATGGCTGCTAGTGAAATCTTTCAGTCTATGCACATTTTTCTGATCAGTTGTCTGCAAAAGACATACTAATAAAATGTTGCAAAGTTTTGAATGTCTGTTAACATTCCTTTTCTACGCAGCATAAGTACGGAGATTCACAGAGTAGAATAGCGACAAGTTCTACAGATAACCCTAACCCTTCTCATGAACTGGCACTTACAGTCTCAATAACTCATTGTGAGACATTTGTAGGAAAAGGAATAGAAATGTTTCATTACTTCATGACTTGATCTGTTCATAGAAAAAAAAAAGAACACTTCTTCCACATGACTGAAGAGAGGGAAAGGAAACTTAGCAGAGAGCCATTTTTTTAATGCAGAGGTGGGAGGGAATGATTGGTTAGTACTGGATAGACTGACAGGCACCTCAGCCCGGAAAAGTCCTTCTCAGTCATGCAAATCACGGGCTGCATGTGACATTGTGAAACTCCAACATGAAACACAAGCAGAATGAAAGAAAGTTATAATGCTATATGAAATCAAATGTCAGGTTTTGTTCTGTCAGTCACAGCAAAAGCATTCAGGATAGACCGTTTCTTGGGGTTCATTTGATTCATTTTGGAGCATGACAAAGGAGCAGAAACTTGGTATAGAATAGGAAGGTGGGAGAATCACTCTTCCTCTTATTTCTTTGCCTGCCTGTCCATCCACCACTGAGGCAGTCGCTGTTTTATGAGGTAGAGCAGGGGGCAGGATCAAGCCCTCTTCCCCCTCTGCCACTGCTATTTTAGGCTTGTTTGTGTGGAATACCACAACAGAGTTGTGATTCTATTATTGGAGTGATTGCTTATTGGAGAGCACAATGAGCTGGAAAATGGAGAGGGAAAATTTGAAGAGTTAGAGTGAGGAATGAAATGGGAAAGGAACGAGATGTTTCAGTCTCCACTTACACCCAGCAAACTTTTTTTTCCAACTGGCCAAAATTTTATTGCCATTTGTAGTGGCGTAGTGTAAAGTTGCTGTAGCTAATTGCACTACCTGATCATCCAGCAACCAGGCTTATGGCCGGGCATGTGACAGAGACCCATGCCTGGTTCATCTCCAAGTAGCTGCAGTAACTTATAGACTCCATCTGTGAACAGAAATAAGAGTTTGGTCTTTAGAAACATTTTTACGAGAACTTCATTGATGCTGGTACTTTTTTTTCCCTCCTCACAACAGAGATGAGCACAACTATTACTCTTGCTGAAATCTTGCACACCAAAGGAAGTCCTCTGGAGGAAGAAGAAATATGGGCACTATTGCTGCTTGGTGCACAACGACTCATGGAGGACATCCGCAGAGGTGAGCAGATGTCTGTGTGGGCAAGGCAAATGTACTCCAGGCCCCCTCCCACCTCCCTTACAGAGTAATCATAGTTAAATAACAGGTATACAGGGCTTAAATCGTATCTGTTCCTTTATATTTGTCTCTCAGTGTTGTATAATTGTTTTATACATCTGCCCCTACCCACAGGCGCACTGTTTGCTGCAATGCTGGCTGCAATTTTGTTGTTTAGTGTAGTAAGTCAAACTAGGCCCATTGAATCAGTGGGGAATTGATTAGCCACCTCCTTCCTAAGTCCGATTGGTTTAAATGGGCCTACTGCAGCTTACTAAGTGGAGTTTCTTACACTAAACAGGATTCTGGTGATTATGAGGAATAGTACTATGTATTGTGTGCCATCAAGTTGATTTTGATATATGGTGACCCTTTCCAGGGTTTTTGAGGCAGAGAATACACAGAAGTGGTTTACCCTTCTTCTGGGGTATCCTGGGAGTGCATAGCTTGCCCAAGGCCACATAGGCTGGTTCTTATCACAGGCAGCACAGTGGGGAATTGAACTCCGAACCTCTGGTTCCACAGCCAGATACCTAAACCACTGAGCTATCCACCCAGCTAGGCAAATATTAAACAGTACAAACATTTTAAAGTGTTGCCATCCATTCCTTCCCTGAATATAAACATGTCACTCCAAGCCATTTTCTAGATAGGTTAAAATTTAGTAAAGTTTGGACACATCTACTTCAGAAACATTTTGGCTGTAGACGAATGTTCAATGTGCTTTTCAAGCAGGGTAAAAATGTTTTTGCTAATACTTAACAAGATATATAAGTTAAGTATTAGCAAAAGCATTGTCTTCTTTTGCAAAGTACTAACAAAGTTTAGCTTGAATGTTGCTGCCATTATCTGAGAAAGATTTTCTGCCAGTATAACCTTCCACTGCTGCCCAGTACTGCTTCCCGGGTTTTTACTTGCCCCCATCACCACTGGAAATACCTACTCTCTTCTTTCCATTGTGACCATTAATCCTGCAGAGAGTGGGTGCATTTTAGTCTGATGTCTCATCTTTGACCATTCCACCATGAGTGACTCTGCTGAGTCCATACCTGTAATGAAATCTAGATTCCTGGTGACGTTGCTCTTGGCTTCTCTGAAAGACTCATACCCCTCTCACCACATTAAGGTGTGCATCTAAAAGAGGGCATCTGCATTAATGCACTTCTTTATCAGAAGAATGACAGAGACCATACAACTATGATTAAGGAAATCAATCTGCATACCTTAATCATACTTACCATTATGTGTAGTTGTGAGGCCCCCAAAGTGGAGGCCTTAGTGGGAGTGCCGTCGCTCTCAAAGAGAACCCTACACACCCAGACATCCCCACCTCCGTCCCCAACGTGTCGGAAAGAGAAAGGCGTGGAGACCCCTGATTGGGAACAAGTGGTCGCCGAACCCCTTACCTTGGATAAGGGGGTAGATACCCAAGACCTGGAGGCGGCGCTGAAAGGGTTAACCTTTTCCCCGGGACCAGGGAAGTCTTTGGCGGGAAGAGGGAGGGAGGAGATTGAGGAGGCGGCGGGAGATATAAGAGGGAAGCCAAGAGAGGTACCGGGGGGATGGGAGTGGATCTGGATGGAGGATCCTTGGACCCACAAGTGGGAGCAGGTCCGAGTCCCCCATGAGGAGGCCGAGAAACGCCGTCAACTTGGACTAAAGCCTCGCCCGTCATACTGGGGTGAGACTGAGGCAAAGGAGTGGAGGAGGAAGCTCCGAGAGGAAAGAGAAGCCGTGGCACGGGAACTAGAACGTAAGAAGCAATGGCATATAGCCGAGTTGAGGAAGCTGGGGGGTTACCCGGCCCCTGGGGAAT